TGCTGTCAACCCCTCCCCCCCTCCTCCTCGCGTTGCCGGACACATCATTTCTGGTGCCGACGAATCCTGCCCCCTGGACAGTGGTTCATTTCTCCTGTACAGAACCTCTCCGCTCAGAGACTGCATGCTCCTCCACCTCCTCCTCCCTACCCTAAGCCTGCAAAATAATTATTCTTCGAATTGTCCTCAGTACACCAACATCGCCAACCACCTCAGATGCCAACTTTAACCCTAACTGCCAACTAACCCCCTGCTTTTAACCCATACCATTTGTGAGCCAACCAGGTTACCCCCTGCCCCCCCCTTGTGCAGTCATGTACAATTTACTTCCGCTTACTTTTGTCTAAAGACTTTGATTTACTCTGACTTGTCTATTTGCGAGCAATAATGATCATCGAATGACTACTGTAATCCGTGCCTTCTCGACTCCAGATGCTAGTGGTGGTGGTGGTGGCGGCGGCGGCGGCGGGGGCGGTATGGATTGTGCAATGTTAAAATTCTTTTCTCGAACTCGTTGGCTGTGTTTTACTTGTTTTACAAGAGTGATGCGCAACCGGTCGAAGTGATTAGGCTCTCCTGTGAACAGAAGATGAACGCGTGTTTTCTCCAAGATTTTTTCTCTCGGTTTCACTGCCTCTCAATGGACGTTTGCGCAGGTAACTGGCAACCGTTCTCACCCCTTGGAGAGTCTGTTGCCGTCAAGATGTGAGAGCGTCTTCCCGCTCCCATGCTTTGATCCATTTACTGGAGCCGAATGTGCGCTGGCCTTTCCAAAAAAACATGATTGTGATCCTTATGCGGCCTGGCGTCGTCCATTTGGCCGACATGATTGCTTAAGCAGGTCAAAGTGGAAAATTTAGCGTGAAAATTGCGCAAACCCCCTCCGTGCACGGGACATGACAAAGCCACTGACTAGTGTGCGTTTTAATTATCGTTCGTTTTACGAACAATAGAGATCCTAGGAGAGGTATTCCTGGCGAAGGTCAGTTAAAGCTCGTGTAACCCCGGATATTAGCCAGAAATTCGGTAAAATATCCGATTGGCGCTTAAAGTCGTTCCCTCCTACATCTTTGCAGTCAGCTAAATGTCCCGTAATTGCTACCGTGTTATTTTTGTCTGATTTCGAGCTGGTAACAAGTCAGCAAGTGCGTAAAATTAATCCGATCATTAGGGTTGGGGGAGGGGAAGGGGAACCGACTGCCGGGCCGCCCCCCCCCCCCCCAAGTCCTGGAAACTGCGTTTTCCGTTACTTAATTGTTCAGAATGCGGTTGACCACGGTGGGAAGATATTAGTTTTATTTCCCGCATGAGGACATCACAGGAATAAAATTCATCATGTCGAGGCGCCGACCAGTGGGATAAAAGATAAACAAAATTAACGGATGCAATTGCAAGTATGCCCTTTGCTATGGATTAAGGAATTTTTCCTCCGTAAAATTACGTGTGCTTTTTGGCGACGGCGGATTCGACCGAGTTACTAAGAACAT